GACTTGAATATCTACGTGAAAAGGCAGAGCCTCGTACCATCCATTGTAATATCAAATCCAACAATTTATTGCTTTTCGATGATGATGTTGCTAAGATTTTTTATTTCGATTTGTCAAATCAAGCACCTGATATGGCAACACGTATGCATTCCACACGTGTTCTTGGGAACTTTGGTTATCATGCTCCAAAGTAAGCTCTTTTTTTAACTATTCAAAATATGTGCTTTTCTACTTTTTGCATCTGTGTATGATAAAAATGATTGCAAATTTATATTATGTGTTAATGTTCTAATCGCAAATTAGATACATAAAGGCAAGGTGAGGCAAATGTGTGGATTGATCAAAGAACCTCTAAGATTGATGAATAAGAAATAACATACCTACAAATCAATAGTAGAAAGAAATAATTTGAATGTGTACTATTTAACATTCACAAATAACAGGTTTTGGCTAGCACCTTAAACATGGGAAGGTGATGCAATTTATGTATGGTCATTGCTGTATATACCACTCATCAATCAACAAGAAGATTATTTAGAGAACTATTTTGCACACTTGAAACCTTGGTTTGGAAAATTATGTCTTCTTATTATTATTTTTTTTCTGGACCACCTATAAATACGCTCGGCCTTAATATCTGATTTTGGATTGCAGATACGCTATGACATGATAGATGAGTGCAAAGAGTGATGTTTATAGCTTTGGTGTTGTCTTGCTGGAACTCTCATGTAACACCTTCTTTCTTACTAATATACTCAAAACATATACTATGAAAACATACATACATAGTATAGGAAATATAGTTGGACTCAAAATTTTCTTTTACTTATAAAACATAATTCTTTACATATACAAAAGTAGTATATACAAAAACTTAGACACAAGAGACAGTGGCGCCTTTTCTCTCTGCTCCAAGATGCCCTTCCGACCGTTGCCTACCTATTTCCTGCAAAACATGGAAAAACAACGGGGTGAGCACAAAAAGGCTCAGTAAGTAAATCCTCTACTACTTATCCCCGCAACTTATTTTTTGGTTCTTTCCTTACTCTATTCTTACTCTTCTTCATTCTTTTTGTTCTTTCTCTGTTTCTAGTTCTCACTGTTCTTTTCTTTCTATTCTTACTCACCATGATGAAAATCATGGTAATATGCATGTATGCAATGCACTCGCAATAATGCATAGAAATATATTTTCTTTCTTTCTTTCTTGCTCAAGCTCTTCTTTTCTTTTCTTTTCTTGTATGCTTAAGCTTTCTCATTCTTTCTTATTCTAGCTTATTCTTTCTTATTCTTTTTTTATTCTCATTCTTATTCTCATGCTTATTCTTATGCCTATTCTTATGCGCTTATTCTTATGCCTATTCTTATGTGCTTATTCTTATGCCTATTCTTATGCGCTTATTCTTATGCCTATTCTTATGCTTATTCTTGTGCTTATTCTTATGCTGATCAGACTCGGTTGATGCATAGATTCGGAACCTTGGCCATGTGAATGAGTACAGTCCTCATCTATATGCAATCTTGCGGACTGTACAAATTCTTTCTTATTCTTATGCCACTCAATTAAGGTGGCGTGCATGTAGGACATTCTTCTTGGTATAACCCTCATCCACATATACTCTTACGGGTCGTACAAATGCTTTCTTCTTCTTATGCCACTCAATTAAGGTGGCGTGTATGTGAGACTTTCTTCTTATCACTCACGAGTTCCCCATCGCAATAACCTATTCTTTTCTTTTCTCTAGCACTCTCTTCTCTTTAATTCTTTAGTGCTATTTCTTACTTTCTCTTTATTCTTAGAATTCTTTATTCTTTCTTTAGGCTCTATGCATATGCAAATATATGCATGTGGATGGTACATGCTAATGTTTCTTTCTTTGGTGCAATCATGTAATATAAACATGCAATGTTGCACAAAATAAGGTTTTCTACTCATGCATATGCTTCTCTTAAGCATTTCATCAAACAATAAGTATGCATAATTAAACTCTACTTTAACTATAGTTCTATTTCTTTCTTGGACCATCCATAATTGGAGTAAAACTCCATAATAATTCTAAACCTGTCAAGGAAAGGCACTTCAAAAATCTTTACTCAAATTCTTCTCAAATTCAGCCAAACTTCAGTTGGCTATCCCAACCTTGACTCTACTTCTCATGGCTCAAAAACCATTCATCAACCCATCAACTCATCAACAATTACAAACTTAGCAATCAATCTCACAATTATAAGTATATATTATATCAAATCATTTGATTGCTTAAATCTTAACTTGGGTTGGATTTACTTACCTTTTTCTTGAGTTCTTCCACAAAAGCTCTCTAACTTGTTGGACTTGCTTCTTCTCTTAATTCCTAAGCATAAACTTAATAAGAATTCAACACTTACTCAACTTAAATTTATACTAAAGCATGAATCCTTACCTCTTGATGCTTAGGACCAACTTTCTACCAAGATCCAACTAAAAGCCCTCAAAAATCCTTGGAAGATTGAGTGAAGATTTGAGAGGAAATGGAGAATGGAAGAGGCGGTGGAATAAGGAAAATGAAGGGATTTAGAAGACTAACCCTTAATATCTCATAAACTAAGCTTTCTTTCCCATTTTACCCTTCCACTTTCATGAAAATTCCATCCTTATCCTTTATTTCTTTACAAATTCACCCTCATTCTAAAATATTCTCTATGAAATTTCCTTGCATTTCACTCCCCACTTTTCTTGCTAATTAGGGGTAGAATGGTCACTTTACCCTTATGTAAAATTTTCTTGAAACTTCACTAGAAAAATCTGCCGACTCTTCGCCCCGGCGAAGAAATCCAGAGCATACGTCGTCGCGGCGAAACTCCTTCTTCGCTGTGGCGAAGTCTGCACTTCCAAAATTCCGCAAGACTTCACCAAATTCAGGGCATCCAAACCATTCTAACTACTTAAATAACATGTCCATTTAACTTAGGCCAATAAACAACATTTAAAAACAAATGAACATGAGTCAAAGATGTACCTCAAAGTGGATGTTACATCTCAATTGGGCGGAAGCCTGTTGATCATACTCTACTACTAGATAGCAGAGCCTTGTGACATGGGTATGAACTTCATCATTGTTTTTTTCTACCATTAACTCATTTTGGAACATACATATTTTTTCTATTTTGTTATTCTCTATATTGATAGATAGCAAATTCATATAAGTGTAAGTTTCATTCAAGTTGATTTTTATGCAATTCTGAATTGTTTTAGGCAACTCCAAAACTCATTGAAGATAAGGTGAAGCAATGCATTGACGTTGAGATAAATGGAGAATACCCTCCTAAGGCAGTTGGAAGATGGTAACTTTGACTGCAAATAATACATCAAATTCGAGCTTTCTTGGTGGAAGAGCAAAAGATTGTGAAGAAGATTTTGAAGATCCAGAAAGCAAAGTAAAAGCAAGCTTTAAGGAGCTAGAAAGTGGGAGGGTGAAAGCAAAACTTTTTGGCTTTTAAGAAATGACTGAGAAACTGGAAAAGCTGCTTTCATTGTATTGAATTCCATATATTTATTGAGTTTGACTTGACAAAATTTATTTTATACTGTATATATATTTATATGCACTATAATTTTATTATTGGATTCTTATTTTAAGTAAATCATTAATGCTATTACTTAGTTTTATTTGGGTTTAAATTGGCAAAATATAAATATAACTGCCAGGACAAACCAGTAATTTCAAAGGTTTCAAATTTTAAAAATCTAATACTAACTTCATTTTTAATAAAAAATTGGAGGGACAAATTGGTAGTTTAAATTTAAATATATAGTTGAATAATTTTATATTTAAAAAAATGGATATATTGGTAATTGAATTGTTGACTTATATAAAATAATAAAAAAATTATTAAATCAAACAGTAAAGAGTACTTGTGTCTCTACAGTTAAATAATAATAGATTTTCCTAATGAAACATAACGGTGGATGAGAAAGTGTCAATTTGAAACTTAGACAGATGAGAAAGTGTGTTTTGTCAAACCTTGGGCGGGAAAAAGTCGTTCTCCCTTAAATTTACCCTAGTACTATATGTCAAACCGGAGGACTAAAATTATATACTATTTTAAAACATTGTCTTTGACCATTGTTGCTTGAAACCACAAGGATGGAAAAGTAATTAACTCTTCTGATCCAAGAAGAGAAACTTAGACGGGAAGGAATAGGGGAAGTGGAGGCTAGCTGTAAACTTGTGCCTGTGGCCTTGATTCATAGAGACAGAGGCCTAGCAAGGCTTAGGCGCTGCTAAATTGGAGGGNCGTTCTCCCTTAAATTTACCCTAGTACTATATGTCAAACCGGAGGACTAAAATTATATACTATTTTAAAACATTGTCTTTGACCATTGTTGCTTGAAACCACAAGGATGGAAAAGTAATTAACTCTTCTGATTCAAGAAGAGAAATTTAGACGGGAAGGAATAGGGGAAGTGGAGGCTAGCTGTAAACTTAATTTTAGTGGCGTGTGCCTGTGGCGTTGTTTCATAGAGACAAGAGGCCTAGCAAGGCTTAGGCGCTGCTAAATTGGAAGGAAATAAATGAAATATTAAGTTTCAGATGTTGCCCTTAACTTAAAATAGTATGTACACAAATCACAAATGAGGATGAAATGAGGAGGTGATGCAAGAAAAAGGACTTTTTTATCACCCCATAAGCTCAAAATACACATGGAGTTTGCTTTAGCAATAAAGATGGTTCTTTTTTACTTGTAAATTGAATTATTCTTGGCAGATTATCAAATCCTCTGCAGCAAGTAAAACTATTCTGGGAAAAAGGAAAATGATAGGCTACTACCCTTCTTTATTTTTTCTTGCCAAATAATCAAATCCTTTAGAGAGACAGAGAGGGAGAGAGAGAATGTGCAGGAAAAAGAGGTCTAACTAGTTAATTGCAATGGTATATTTTATTTAGACATCTGTGCAGCTTTGCAATTGCCTATAGCTATAATCAAGGGGAAATTTTAGCAAGCAATAAGCCAAAGAATAAACGGGACTCCACACAAAATTCTACGTTATTGTTTATGGTCTGACAGGCTACTACCCGTCTTTAATTTTCCAATATTTCTACATGTTTCGGTTATCACATTTTCAGGCTATTCCTATGAGCAAAAGATGGAATAACTACTTGAATCCAAAACTTTTCCAATCCGCTTAGAACTAAGAAAACTCAGTACTAGCAATACAGAGAAAACACTATACACCAGGTATTTTATTCCTTGAAGTCGTCTTTGTCATCTACCGGAATCGGCCTATTCCTCCAAAAGACTGCAAGAGCACTCCCACCAAGCTGTAAAGGAGGTAATAATGAGTAGAAATCCCAATCAAAACCAAAACAAGAGCTAGTAGGAATGTAAAATATATAGGTTTGAGAGCAAAAAGGGCTATACCGCCATGCAAACAACACTAACTGCAGAAGGGACAGCCACAAGGGGGTTTGTAAAATGCCTCTGGGCAAGAAAAAATCCAAGTGCCGAGCTCTGGAGGGGCAAATGAATGAGTAAACAAACTTATGGAACACAGAAAATAATTTCAGGAGAATTGGAATATACAATAATTCTCTAATCAGGATCCCCTGACATTACACTTGAACACCATTAAATTCATCTGATACTGCTTCTTGAGGACAGTCATGCAACTCCACATTTCGATAAACAGCAAGAGAAGTCCCGCTACCAATACAAGCGTGTTATTCAGAAGGTTTTTCTATATTTTGTTTTGGAGGGCTGGGGACCGAAGCGAAAATATTTAAAGCTGGTCAAATTTCTCATTTACATCCACAAAAAGACTTCAATATTTTGTATATCAAACTTCAATCATCTCTAGTCTAAAACCTATCAGCAAGTATTTACCAAACAGTTAAAATGATTAATTTTATTATTCTCCCGCCACATTACTCTATACTTCATCTAACTTGTTTCAGACTGAAACAATCTCACATAATCTGGTACAGATACACTCATGTGGTAGACAATTACCTGCATTCCACATTCAATGGATATGGTACGAGAAGTGGATTCACCAAATGATATTTTTGAAATCCAATAACCGAGAGCAAATGCAGCAGCATGTAGGACAGCCACTGGCAAAATTAGTTGTGCACCTTGAGTTTTCAAGACCTCTGAAACTTGCCCAATCTTGAAAGTGGCAACCACCAGAATCAGTTCTTTCCATGTAAAACAACTATTATAAAATTCTGAGCTGGAATGCTAAAGTAATTATTATGCTTCACCCCATATTTTGAGAACTTACAGGGCTTGCACAAAGTAAGGTGGTAAGAGTAACTCCAATTAAGGGTGTCACACTGGTAATTTTTGAAGTGAACTTGGGGAAGAATTCATTTGACAACACTGGCAGAAAAAGAACAAATTAGAGTTGAATTATTTATAAACAGATAAACTACAAATCTTCATTAGCTATATTCAGATGCAGATAAAAGTTTAATTTCTATCCATTAAATCAAATAAATGTAAACCGCAACTAATTACCTCCAATAATTGTTGGCACTAAGACAACTTGAAAAGTGCTAATAGCCAGTCCCTGCAAAAATGATGGGGGAGTTGTCAGACTAAGTATCACTGCATATTAAGGTGAAGTAACAGTAGATAATCCTCTCAATATTAGCCCCTCTAGTGAATAACAAAAATGACCTAGATATCATTTAAATTTTTAAGGTTGCAATGAAAAAATAATAGGTTTTAGAATGAAGAACTCCTAGATATGTACGTTAAACTCCCATGCAAAACATGAAACGAAAATTTTGTAGGGTGTCCTTGAAAATCAACAATATGTCAATTGGATTGTAAACCGAACAGCCATGACCCATCCTGTCTTGTTAAGTGCTAGAATTGGAGTACCATAATACAAACTATCCATGTGGCCAATGAAATAAGTTTATTTTTTATTTTTCTCTTTCCTTTCTGTTTTTTATTTTTTAATATGAGAGGAGAGGATTAAGTACACCAGTTTCTTCAAGATCATCACTTTCATACAGTACAAACTTGAGCGCTATGCATTAAGAAGTTATAAAGCATGAATCAACTTACAGCAGCATCAACAGGAACAAGCTGACCGGCAAGAAGCTTAGTAAGGAGTGGAGTCATGACTATAGCTCCAATAGTTGAGCACCTACAGAAATCCCACATGAAATTTATGAGATTTGAAGGTCAAGGTCTCAAGAATGTACAAAAACATTAAAATGCATTAATAAATCAGTACGCTTTCTGACAAACCACAATCACTTGCTCCCAAAACATAAATGAAAACCATTGCTCTCATAGGTGTGTGGTCAAGTTATGACCAAAAACAAGTCATGATTATATTCTGGAATATGGTCATAAAGTATGTCCTGTACTGTTTCCATATTATGCACAAAAGTATATAGAATGAAGCCTCTCCAAAGCCTAAAAATCTCATTTTTGATGTTCACAAGCATGGTGAGGAAAAATTCTTTTCCTCTCTCTGACAAATAGATGAACTCATGATCCTTTGAACAAACATAATGTAGTAATTCGTACTTGTTTACTTTACGGCACATGCTCCCCACATGTTTGATGTCCCAATTTTCTATGTCTAATAACAATACAATTCTAATGTCTAACTTCACTTCTTGATAAAGATAAATAAAATCAGGCCCTACCTTATACCTGATACTCACCCAAACTGATCTCTCTTCCTCTCTCCCTTTATTGTGAGCACATGCATGCACAAAAAATCAAAGATTGTGTGCACACAACAAAAGATTTCAAGGCGCTTGAAAAATTGTCCAATTAAAGCCTATACCTACCAAGTATTTATCTACAGAAAACTACAAACCCGGAATTTTTACTACAGAATTGTAGAATATCCAAACTCCAATTTAAAGAAAGAAAGCAAACACACACACACACACACAATTTCCTGCTTTTACTTGCATCATTAGCTGTTACATACATGTCAAGGCTTGACCAATGGAAAAGTTTTATAGTGCAAGAACCTGTGTCAGAGACCATTCGCATTTCAAAAGGCATTTAAATTTGCTTCTTCACAATAGAGATAGAAAAAGAACACAAGTAGCAGATGCACAGTTTAGATTCTACAATCGAAGGTTCTGTACAATGACGGACAGTACCAGTACTTAATATCAAACAGCAGCAAATTCAACCAGAGAACCAAAAAGTTAAGGATTTCAATTGTCTGAATACAAACGGAGCATACGTTGTCATAAGGACAGAAAGTGCTACATTTCCCTTTGAGATATAAGTTGCAACATTTGAAGCCTGACCACCAGGGCAGCATGAAACCAAAATAAGACCAGTTGCAAGTGGTGCAGAAAGTTTTAGGGACTGAAAACGAAAGAGATATATTAGCGACAGTAAATTCAACCAGGATTATGTACATCTCGTCTGTGAGCAGAAATCAACAACCAACTTAAGAAATTGAGAAGATATACCAGTGCAATGACAAAGCCTAACATGGGTTTGATTAAATATTGAGCGAGAAACCCTACACCCACCTGCAATATCAGTTCTCAGTGATATAAATCCGGAAAACTATTAAACTGAAATCTTCTTGTTTAAATAACAGTGTTAACATGCATGTGAAAAAATTGCTTCTTACAGTCCATGGATTCCGCAAGCATCGTCTGAAATCCTCAAAGGTCAATGTCAACCCCATTGAAAGCATAAGGAAACCCAGACTGAGAGTGAAAAGGTCTGTCTCCAACCAGGTTACCTGTGGGAAGACCTCATCACCAACTAGTTAAACAACAGTTTGTTTTTTTATAATCAAAGAATCACTAACAGACTGACAATTACCGCAGCAGGCTTGTAGATGCCTATTATGGTGCCCAGTATGACCTGTCCATGAAAAAATCAAAATAACTATGCAACTGAAGTATACCATTTAGAAAGATCGATTAGAACTCCATCAAGTGCTAGCAACATATGAAGGACATACCCAGACAGGAAAAAGAGTAGTCAAAGTTTCAATTATTCTCTCATACTGACTCATCCCACTAGAAGTGTTATTGGGAACATCTCCAGATACATTAGCAGCAGACTTGCACAAAACTTGGGAGTTCCTGAATATAGTAGTCGGATCATTTTCATTGGATATTGAGAGTTTACAAATGCATAATTATGGACAAGAACGACAATGGGTCCAATAAGCCTAGCAAATCTTGAAAGCAGGAACCTAATGCACTAATGTCTGCAATTTATTATACCACTTGCTAAAATGAATTATAAGTCCTCCATAATTTCACATCAACTAGAGTTCATTACGCCTTTTAACAAGATCACGTTGACCAAGCCGGTGTCTTCAGCAAGAGATAAATGCTCAAATTCTAGAGCAAGTAATAGCTCATTGAAACCAAATATATTATAATCAAACACCTGGTCTGAAAAAAAAAATACCTTGAACATTGAATGATCGAGTAAGGGGCTGAAAGGGAGACAATGGAACTTCGAGGCTTGTTTTTTATTGCCAAACTTTTTGCATTCTCGGGCATTGAAAACACGCCCCTGGGATCTGTGTATTCAAATTAACAAGAAAAACGAAGTAAAACAAGTAAGAATTTGGAATTAAAGTTTCAAAAGCATGCTCAAAAACACTCCAAATAAAAGAGAAAGCAAAAGAACAAGAACCCATGTACCCAATAAACAAATACAACCCAGAACCAAAACAAGTAACAAGCACAATTCAAACATACCCAGATGAGCCTGCAGCCTCCTAGAAGAGACTGAAGTGCTGGTTGGTGTGGAGATAGCGCGCGAAGCATGTAACTTAGTACAATCTTTAACAACAAATCTAGTAGACATGGAAGCCATTAAAGAAGAGTCTTTAAAAACCTTAATCAAGGAAAACAAATCTTAAAGTGTGAAATTTAAATGAATAGTGGACAGCTTGGCTCCAAAACTTCCGGGCTTTGGTTACAAATGTGGATATGTAGTGGACGTGGAAACCGATGAACCACACACTCCAAAATTGGCTCATCCCAATCTGAATCTCAATCGCATAGAGATGTTTTTGTTTTGTTTAGCTTATTCAGTCTATCACACAACTCTACTGATGTTTTGTCGTTGGTTCATACATGATGTGAAACCTCAACAGCTAAACCCAACTCCAATCTCTTTAGAGATGCAACTGTCCAACAGAAAATGATGTAAAACTAGCGTTTGCCACGATATTCATAAGATTAAAGCCAAAATCATTAGTTGTTGATTTTTTATTTTTTATTTTTTATTAACTTTTTCTTTTTTAGCCCATAAATGAATAAAAAATATTTTTTTAATCTTTAATTCATAATAAACATTAAAAACCTCATGCAGTTATTAGAGTTTGACTATCCAACTGTAATATACAATTCTTATTAACAAAAGTTTTACACGTTTATGAAGAATAGATTGGTTAGTTTTACTTTTACCTCACTAAATTATGAATATTGCTAATATTAATACTTTTTCGGATTCTAGAAACCATTGATTTAAGATTTGTGCTAAAAAGTTTAGTTGAAACCTATAGTACAGTGGGTTGAATATTTGTTTTATATTTGATACATTGCGACAAAAATAAAAGAAATTGATAATTTGTCTAACAATCTTTAATGGATCATGCTGTTGTTACAAAAATTTGTAATAATTAGTAAAATCGAATTAAGTGGGTACATAGTTGTAATCAATCAATAAAGTAAAATGAACAAATCGAAAATAAGAGATAAATAATAATGAATTTTTAAATGGTTCAACTAGTGATAATCAAGCTCTCATTCCCTGTTATTGTATTGCTCAGTATTAGTTTTATACACGTGTCTAATGGTGATTGAGAGTTGGCTGTAAGCATAATCTTTCGTAATCCGAATTTACGTCAGTTGTGCCATGTGTACTTGAGACAGTCAATCTTGATGTAGAAGTCTGTGGTTGGGGAGATGCCACGTGGAAGATTTGGCCATGGGATCTGAAAGTGTTTTGGACAGGTGGCGCGCATCTGATGGCTAAGAGATTTACTGCACAACACTGCCAATTCAACGTGTATGACAAACACATTTACCAACGATTGTATTGATTGAATGATCATTTATTCTATATTTATTGTAAAATCCATGAACAAGTTCCAAACTATTCCAATTCTCTGCTTAAAAAAATTGTTTTAACAATTAGCTGTCATTCCTTTTTTATTAGGGTTTTGGATATTATCGATATGAATAAGTTTCCATTGATTTTGTAACCTTCATTGTAAGAATAATGTTATACCAAATCATCATAACTTAAGTATTAACTGAGACAATTAAAATTTTGAAATTTTTTCTTTTTTTTTTTAGTTTGTTGAAGGAACTTATGTGACAATAAGAGAGGTATGTCACGTCAGTTAGTACTAGATTAGTATTGTATTGTCTTTTACCATCTAAATTTATTTATTTGTTTATAAAGATGATCATTTTTAATATTCGGTAATGTAACTGGTTCATAATTGTCCGATAACTTATATAATGGGCTTTGACATGAACGAGAAAATGTTTACCTTTGGGCTTAGACCCCACCCAAAAAAAAGTTCATTACCGTTGGCTTAATGGACCAAAATGTGAAGAGGCCGGTCGTTCTTTAAATTGAAATAAGTCACATGGTTAAATATTTAATTGGTGGATGTGCATAATATACAATTGATGTTGGACGACACTAAATTACTGGTACTTTAAAGGGGCGCATGGCCAAAAAACTCTGATAGAGCAATATTGGCTCTTTGTAAATGTATTATTCTCCTCCATTGCTATGCAATCGGTGTCATGTGGCTCCCCTTTCAATTATTTGTTTGTCTTTCCACCAAGTAACCCCTTTTCATATCAGCCTTTTGCTTCTCTTCTTTTGATACATTGTATAGTCTCTTTTCTATTGGATATTGGCAATTCCATTTCATCTACAACTTCAATTGAGTGAACGAAATTAGCTGTGATATATTCTGAACTGAATGGTCCAAACCCTTGTTGCTTTCTGGCAGCTGTGACTGTACTAACTGCATACACTGTGTAGCTAATTTCCCACATGGAATCATGGGAAAATGTCAATTAAGAGAAGTGCTCTTTTAGTATAAGTTGAGAGAATGTGAGCCCATGATGGGATTTTTAAGTTTATATCAAATTTTTATTTCCATAACAGACCGCTCCGAAAGGGATCCCTGTGGGGGTTATAGCTCTGTTTCTTAAACAATGAGACAACAGACAGTATGATGCTGGAGGGAAATTACCAATAAACATACTGACGAGGAAAGCATGGCAAGTTGGTGACCCTTCGATTTTATAAATGTTTAATTCCAAGTTGACCCCATAGAAAAAAAAAATAAAAAAAGTTGTATTGTACCAGGTAGGCTCCTCCTTGTTCAAGGCAAAGTTTTGGACTTATATTTTTGTGGTTGATAATATGGACCGGGTGTTAAAGAACTATCTCAAGTTTTTTTTTTTTTTTTCCAAAAATATTAAGTTTACAGTTCAATTTCATAACTTCTTTTATAACCTTAACGTGATAGTAAAATTAATATTACCACGTCAATTAACAACTTTGACTAAATATGAACGGTCATTCTTTAGGGACAAACGACCGTTCATTCATAAGGAATAATTGTTCCTTATGAATAGTTATTTTTTTTATGAAAGAACAGTCGTTCATTCTTAAAAAAACGACCGTTCGTATTTAGTTAAAGTCATTTAATGCTTTGAGTATGGTGGGAGCTGACGTGACAATTATCAACTCAACTGCCATATTGGGATCGTAAGAGAAGGTTGTGAAATTGTGTTGTTGGCGTAGTATTACTCTTTTTACAATGTAGAAGGGAGACGACAAGAGTTATGATGTATAATTATAAAATATGAATAGAACTTTGTGTTCTTACTAAGATAGATATTAATACCCGTATCATTTTCTTGCGAAGACATAGACAAATTACTTGCATTTCTCAGTAAAGTGGGACAATCTGTGTTGGTCATGTATTTAAAAAAGAAAACGATAGCAATTTGTATTTGAAGTATATAGTTGGTTAAAGATCAGCTATAATAATTGTTTGATATGTTCTTGTGTTTGGCTGCTGGTAATTGGAGTTTAAGAAGAGGGATTCTCTAGAAAAATTTGGCAGACTAATGTGACAAGGTGTCCTAGGTTTGTACATCTTTGTCGATTACATTCAAAAGATAAACATCAACCAGAGTGTAAAGCCCTAAATTAAAACTGTTTTGAAACTGCGCTTCACAACGACTTGGTAAATTGTCGGCGAAACAATAAAGGTTAGAATGAGATATTTTAGGGCCTTAATTGTTAGAATAATGTTACGGATACTAATAATTTGAACCGAATTTTTATACTGACATACATGGCATCCAATCAAACGCGGTCATGTCAGAGACAACACACGTCTTCCATGAATGAACGGTCATCCATCAAATATGGACGAGTATCTATGATTGTTGGACGACCGTTCATTTCAAATGGACTCTTGTCCATTGATCTCGTACGAAAATAGTAATGGACTTTTGTCCATATTATATGGACATACATCTACTTCGAATGAACGCCTGTCCATAAATTTTTTAAAGTATAATAATGGACGTCCGTCCATATGATACGGACTGGCGTCCATTGAATATGAATGACCATCCATTGGCAAATAAAAATTTTTATTTGCCTCATACAGACACCAAGAGGCGTCCATTTTCAATAATAATAATAATAACAGGTTTTTATTGGTCTTTAATACAGTCTCTAGTGAATAAAGAGTATTTCAAGATGAGCATTGAGTCATGGTAATAGTAATATAAAAATATAAATTGCATTGAATTGAGCAAGAGGACAAATAAAATGGAATTATTAATTGGTTTATCAAATAGTATACTTTTGATGCATGATTATTTTCATTTATTGTATATGGATGACCGTCCATATAAGATGGACGCCCGTCTATCAATTACCCAATGTATATGGACGACCGTCCATATAAGATAGACGGCGTCCATTGTTTTATTTTTAAAATTTTCTAGATAGGCTTCCATCTTATATGGACGTCCGTTCATAGTAAATAGACACCTGTCCATATAATATAGATAAGAGTCCATTGATATTTTTGTAGACGCTCGTTCATTTGTGATGAACAGCCGTCCATCAAATATGGACGAGCGTCCATAATTGTTGGACGACCATTCATTCACGGAAGATGTGTTTTATCTCCAACGTGGTCACGTCTTACTGGATGCCTCGACCTTCTATACAAAAATTTGGTGTCTTTAGCATTATTCTAATTATTAAGGATAAGCTAAACCCATTATGTTTTTAGCTTTGGTTTGTGTGGCCTTCGTTTGAGCAACCCAACAAATGCAGCCCTTAATTTCTTAAGTTTGGTGGGGCTTTGAAATGGGTTATGTCAATAGAGGATTTAAAGTGCTGGAGCTAAAAGCGGTTGGAACAGTGGACTAAATTAGGGACCATTTATGGGTCAATGAAGTTTTCATCTGGTAGATCCCTTTTAGATGTGTCCATAATTAGTCCATGGACCACCTCTTTGTCTATCCGAACATCTTAATAATGAGGTAAGTGTGGGACTAAGCCACCAAAATTTAATTGTTAACTGCAAAATGGAAAGACAGGATTTCTTTACTTTGCTCAAATTGTAATTACTTCTTGTCTCATTGTCAAATCCACCCCTATTGGACCATAGCATAGATAAAATCAAGAGCTAAGATTTGGCAGTGAATTGTAATGTGCAAAATTCAACCCCAACTTCTAACTGCCAACAACCCACAATATGAATATAGCAGACAATCTCACTAGTAAATTAAATCCATTATTATTTGCCACCCCAGTTCGCTCGCCTATGCTTCTTTTTCTTTCCTTTAAAGTTACAAACTCAACTCCACAGTATCTGTGTAATGTGCATTTGTCTTCTGCAATTTTCTTCCTTTTTTAGCCCGTTCTATTATCATGCCAAACAAACAGGAATAACTAATTGTTGTACATGATTTTCCTACTATCAGATTTGCACCATCTGTCCACAAATTACTCTAACATCGAGCGACTAAGATCACCCACGTGTCGCTCCCACAACAGATGATTTAACTAATAAGCTCATCAGCCCTTAAACATGATTGCTCTGACTTAAGCATGAGAGATGACTGACTAAGT